TGTTTGCATTTATGGAGCACCCTAGCTTGAGTCAATCGAGCTCTACTTTTGCTATAAAATGATCCTGGCAGATTGTTGACATGTTTAGCGATTTTACCGAGGATGTTGCTATTGATCCGTGCATGCTATGTTGTTGTTCTTGCCATGTCTAGCTCCTATGCCATGTCTTCTTGATGGGTGCATGTTTAGTTTGTCATGCCATGCTCTGTAGTGAGTGCATCGAGCTCGTAAACATGCCTTCTCGTTAACTGTTTTGGATGCTCCAGTTTTTCACTAAGTCTAAATCTGTTTATGTTTTTGCCATGTTCACATGCTTGCAATTGTATTTTCTGATCCCTTTTCGCTCAAGGTCACTAAGGGACTTTTGTTAAGTGCTTTGAGTAGTTTCATGCCATGCCTTGCTTTGCCATGTTAAGTTCATGTAGCATGTAGTTTTCATGCTCTAAAGTGTGCTTCCTGATGATAAATTCCAGACTTGTGTTAATTTCACCAAGTCTGAAACCTGTTTTCATTTGCACTTTTGCCATGCTTGTTTGAACCTGTTAATGGATGAATTAGCCGTAGCTCAGTGTTCATCTTTTGTCAAGCATTATGAGTGGATCCCTGCCATGTATTTTGTTGCCATGTTTGGGTGCTGTAGCATATTTATCTTGATGCATTTAGTTGGTCACTTGCTGATTATCGCAGACCGGTGCCATATTTGTTTTGCTTGCCATTTCCAAACCGTGCATCCGATTCCGGTGATCTTTATATTGATTTCAACCGAAATCACCTCACCTTTCTAGTGGCACTCTTGGATTTCCAAGTTGAGTCCAGGTTCAATCATTCCTTGTCAAATCTTGCATATGCATCACATATCGCATCCCGCATATCATACCATGTTTGCATCATATTGCTTGAGCATTGCACGTGGTTGATTGTGTTCCGTTTGCTTGTTGTTCTTGTTTGGATAGAGCCGGGAGACGAGTTCGTGAGTGAGGAGCCCGTTGAGTTCGCTTACGAGGATCAAGTCAACTCTGACAACTTTGCAGGCAAGATGATCATACCCTCGAAATCACTTCTATCTTTGCTTGCTAGATGCTCGCTCTTTTGCTATGCCTATGCTATGATACCTACCACTTGCTTATCATGCCTCTCAAATTGCCATGTCAAACCTCTAACCCACCATGTCCTAGCAAACCGTCTAGTTGCAGGTGAAGATTGGAGAGCGTTCCTTGTTGGAACATTGTTTATTGTTTGGATATCACTATATTATCATGTTATCTTAATGCACCTATATACTTGGTAAAGGATGGAAGGCTCGGCCTTATGCCTAGTGTTTTGTTCCACTCTTGCCGCCCTAGTTTCCGTCATATCGGTGCTATGTTCCCGGATTTTGCGTTCCTTACGCGGTTGGGTTATAATGGGAACCCCTTGACAGTTCGCCTTGAATAAAACTCTTCCAGCAATGCCCAATATTGGTTTTACCATTCGCCACCTAGCCTTTTTCCCTTGGGTTTCGCGGACTCAAGGGTCATCTTTATTTTAACCCCCCCGGGCCAGTGCTTCTCTAAGTGTTGGTCCAACTGAGCGATGTCCGGGGCTACCAGGGGCAACTCTGGGCTGGCCTACCCGACGTCTTGCTCATCCGGTGTGCCTTGAGAACGAGATATGTGCAGCTCCTATCGGGATTTGTCGGCACATCTGGGTGGTGTTGCTGGTTTAGTTTTACCATTGTCGAGGATGTCTTGTAACCGGGATGCCGAGTCTGATCGGAATGTCTTGGGAGAAGGAATATCCTTCGTTGACCGTGAGAGCTTGTGATGGGCTAAGTTGGGACTCCCCTGCAGGGATTTGAACTTTCGAAAGTCGTGCCCGCGGTTATGGGCAGATGGGAATTTGTTAATGTCCGGTTGTAGATAACTTGAAACTTAACTTAATTAAAATGAATCAACCGCGCGTGTAACCGTGATGGTCTCTTCTCGGCGGAGTCCGGGAAGTGAACACGGTGTTGGAGTAATGTTTGGCGTAGGTTGTTCTAGGATCACTTCTTGATCATAGTTGTTCGTCCGTGCTTTTGCCTTCTCTTCTCGCTCTCTTTTGCGGATGTTAGCCACCATATATGCTAGTCGCTTGCTGCAGCTCCACATCATACCTTTGCCTTACCTATAAGCTGAAATAGTCTTGATCGCGAGGGTGCGAGATTGATGAGTCCCCGTGAATCACAGATTACTTCCAAACCAGATGCAGGGACCGATGATACCGTTCCAGATGACATGACCGAGCTCAAGTGGGAGTTTGATGAAGACTCTCGCCGTTACTATGTGTCTTTCCCAGATGATCAGTAGTGGTGCCCAGTTGGGGCGATCGGAGACTTTGTCGCATGTGGGGGTTGATCTTTATTTTGGTACCGTAGTCGGACCATGAGTGTATTGGATGATTGTAATGTTATTCATGTATTTGTGTGACGTGGCGAGTGTAAGCCAACTATGTATCTTTTCCCCTTTTATCTATTTACATGGGTTGTTGTGAAGATTACCTTACTTGCGACACTGCTTTCAATGCGGTTATGCCTCTAAGTCGTGCTTCGACACGTAGGAGATATAGCCGCGTCGAGGGCGTTACAACCACCGTGCGCACCGCGGCGTCAGCCTCGTCGGCCCCCGCGTGGAGCGCCCCGAGCTACTGCTTGATAGTGATGCGGGCATGGGCAGCAGAGAGCAGCGGTGGTGGAGTAGCTCCATGGGCGAACAGAGCACTGGGCGCAGGGGATGGGAAGCCAACCTTTGGGAGCATGGGATGGCCGCGACGACAAGTGAGGGTAGGAGGTGGGGCGAATCAGAGCGGGGCCGCGACGGCGAGCGCTAGCAGCGGCCACAGGAAGACGGGGAGGGCGGGCCATGACGGCGCGAATTTGACCTAGCCGGCCATAGCTATCTCCTGTGGCCAGCAGCCACACCTCGCTGGTGGCCTCCGCACTAGTCCCACCGCCTCCATGCACTGAAAGTGTTTGTTGAAATGCCAAAAGAAGAGAGGAAGAGGAAGAAGAAGATTGATGTGGGTCCCACTTGTCATAACAGTCAACTTAACGGTAAAAAATAAACGGCGTTGACTTTCCCGCCACGTCATCCCTGACAGACGGGCCCCGCATGTCATAAACACGTTTAAATCTTCTAAACGGGTCATTTTTCGAAAATGGTAGTTTTTAGTCACGAGATTTCAATTTTAGGGTAGTTATCAGTCACTTTTTTAAAAGTGGTACTTCCGTGGGGCGCGAACCCCAAATGTGGTAGTTTTTTGTCAAACACTCCCTAGGATGTCGCTGCCGCGCGTACCACGACAACACAACACTTTAAGGTTGGTGCAAACTTCTAAATGAGGTGTATCAAAGTAAAACTCTCATAGAATAGGAATCATAGGAAGTGAGATGACATGTATCTTAATTTTTATAAAAAAAATACCTTTTGATGCATAGGCTAAGAATTTTTTTATCTGTTTTCTTTCATTTGAAATGTGTAGGCTTGGTTTCTATCCTAATTAGGAATAGTAACCCATTCTTATAAATTGAAGGGCTAAAAAGAAGTTTCTTTCCAAAATCTTATCCCATAAAATTCCTACAACTTTCCGTTCCAGAAAAGGCGCGGAGAAAGGATCAATTTCCCCGGGAGTGGGACGCCCTGCGGTTTGGGTACCTGTTCCCGGATCCGGCTTGCCTGCTCCTTTTCTATGCTCCTATCCGTGCTCCCATTTTGTCCTACGTTTTTTTTTCTTTTTTCTTTCTAATACAATCATCTCATATCTGATTTTAAGAGAATGAGGCCGGGCTTTATTTTGTTTCAATCAAATCAAGCTACGTATGCGAAAGTACGGATGAACGCACACGCGGGGAGCAGTCAAGTCTCGTCCACTGTACCCCGACCCAAAGGCCGAAGTCGTGACCATCTTGCCCCCACATCCAGCGCCCGCCCGGTGCAGTTCTTCGCCGATAAACGGATCTAGGCGTGTGAGGGAGGGGGAGGGATACTCGGAGGTTAATCGGAGGCGACGGATGGGCAGCCGCCGGTCGGGCGCCGACGCAGCCGAGACCCCTCGCCGCGCCTTGGCCATGCTCTCATCCAAAGCCGTCGCGTGGCGCCGCATCATCGTCGTATGCAACGGAGAGCCGCCGCGCTGATTCGTCCCCGGCGGCTCGTCGTTCTGCATCATCCCCACCTGTGATGTTTCCGAAGAGGCGGGGAAACAAAAAGCAGTTCTTCCTCGAGCTGCAAACGGAAATCGTTCCGTCCCCTCGAGGCTTGTCCGAGTCTCTCTCGTTTTCGTTCTCCGGGTTGCAGCCGGAGGCGGAAATCGATCAGTTGTACTATATATACGCCCGAGCGGTCACCACTCACCACCGAACCCGTAAGATTCAGTGGAGAGCAGCCACGACGCCGACCGCCCCACTCCCGGCTATTTTTCTCTGCCCTCTTCTTGGCTAATCCGCACAATGGTGGTGAGTTCCTTCTTGTCCCATATCTCTAGATCCGTTTCCTTTCGTCAGTGATGCCGCAGGAAAAGTTGCATTTTTCAGACTAAGAAGCTATTACTAGCATCTCTGAGGACGTTTCGAATTTGCGTCTTTGAGACTGTTGAAATTGCAACTTTCATACTTCAATACAGAATCAACTCTGATTTGTTTCTACTCTAAATGCAGAGTGACAGTTGTCCGAAGCAGGAAGACAATGGAGATGACAGGCTCAGCAACTTGCCTGAACACATTTTGCTTACCATCATTGATCGACTTGATATCCGCGAGGCCGCAAGAACCAGTGTCCTCTCTGGGCGGTGGCGGCACCTCCCTGCTATGCTCTCTCGACTTGTGATAAATGTTTGGGACTTCTTAGACGCGTTCAATTGCAACAATGCTGAAATTGTTCGGGGCAACGAAGCTGTGGTTAAAGTGACAAAGAGCATCCTGGCACGCAGAGATTTAAGCCGAAATACCATCCAGTTTCTGTGCATGACGTTCTTCTTGAGAGAAGATGATCCAATATCCATTGGGCATGCTGTTGCTTACAACCATGGCAACCCAGAAGGTTCAGATAGCTGAGTTCACAATTTTGACGGAGAGAGATAATATATTTTGCGACGATGATGATCTGGTCATCTACGGGCGACAATTCATGCTGTTCTTTGATGCATGTCCAAATGCATTTGGTGGTCTCACACGCCTTAACCTAGAGAATCTGAGATTTGGTGAATCAGACATCCCTAACGTCCTCAACACTTGCAAACGTTTGAATCATCTACGACTGTTCCATTGTGACTCAGGAAGTTGGACCGTGCTGCAAGTTGAGCACACGCAACTCAGTGAGCTCGCTATTGTTAATTGTTCGTTTGAAAGAGTTGAGCTCAACTCACTTCCGAAACTCACACGCATCGTCTTTGAGGGTTGGATCTCTTTTGAAGATCCACTATCTTTTGGTTATGTCCCGTTGCTTGATACTGTAAGCCTCACAAATGTCAGTCTTAGTTGGCACAAGATGATCAAGTTAAGCAAGTTTCTTAGGCGTACTCCATCTGTGAGACGCTTGAAGCTGGGATTTAATTCTGAAAAGGTATGTCAAAAATGCTTTTTTTCCCTAGCTCTGGTCACACTTCTTATTTGCTCAGCTCATCATGTTTTCGTTTGTAGCAGATTTGGGTTCAACCAGAATGTCTGACGGAAAGGCTGGCATATGTGTTCCACCAATTAAGGTTTGTGAATCTAAGTAATATGCCTGAGGGGTATGATCTCACCTGGACATTGTTCATACTTAAAGCCGCGCCGAACCTGAAGGAGCTGTACATGAGTGTATGTTCTTACCTAAATCTTGCTCTCTTCTATCTACCGAATTTTGAAGTTTGCCATTATTCACATTGAATACGAATGGCTGTGAGTCACTTAAAATGTTTCTGTTTACCTATCTTCCTATGGTATACAGGTATGGGATCATCTGTGTGAAATGAAAACAGATGCAAAGGAGAGGAAGTCACTCTCGTACAGTGAGAATAAGGGTGCAGAATGGGAACCATCTGCAACTGCTTTCCATCATCAGAGTCTGGTCACGCTCGCCATCTTCGGGTTCCGAGCTCGAGACTACATGATGAACTATGTCAGGCGTGTCGTGGAAACAGCCGTCAATCTAAAGGACGTGTTCTTGTATGATCGGTTGACGTGTGACAAGTGCCGCAGCATCCCGTCGCGGTTTCCGCCTAAGTGGAAGCAGGACTGTGTGGAGAAGTTTATCACAAATGGGATCAAGTCGTCTGCCATAATGCAATTCCAGACCATCGGCTATTTAAGGCCTGATCATGTTGATAAGCTGTGGTTCCTGTAGTGTTTTCAGGTTAGTTTGTGCTGCAGTTCCATTCTTTGCCTGAAAAGATAGCTGAACACTTTTGTGTTGTCAGTACTTGTCAAGGTTTTGCATGAAAAGAGCTTCTTACGGGCATGGGATCATTTGTGTAAAATGGAAACAGATACAAAGGAGAGGAATTCACTCTCGTATAGCGAGGATAAAGGTGCACAGTGGAAATCATCTGCAACTGTTTCCAGCATCACAGTCTGGCCACGCTCGTCATCTTCGGGTTTCAAGCTCGAGACTACATGATGAACTACATCAAGCGTGCCATGCAAATATCGGTCAATCTAGAGGATGTGTTCTTGTATGATCGGTTGACATGTGACAAGTGCTATGGCAAGCTTCCGTCGCAGTTTCCGCCTAAGTGGCAGCAGGGCTGTGTGAAGAAGCTAAATCACCAAGAGGATCAACTCGTCGGACATAATTCACTTCCATACAGCCGCTAATTCAAGGGATGATCATCTTGACAAAATGTGGTTCCTGTAGTGTTTTCAGGTTAGTTGTGTTGCAATTCCTTTCTTCGCCTGAAACGTTAGCTGAATTGTGTTGTCAGTACTTTTTTCCAACCGGGCTCACACACCTTTCCATTAATTGCTCAACGAAAATATTCAGTACGCAAATCTTAGCTACAACTGAACCAACAGAAAAGGGGGCGGGAAAGTGGAGAAGCGAGCTGGGGCATTAACAGGAAACCCGCTGCAGGTGCTCGCTGTCGAAACACTTACCACAGGGCAAAGACCTATTAACACCACCAACTACGAGCAGTAGCACAGGGCTGGGATCTCAGATCACAAAAATCTTGCAAAGACTATCTCAGCAGGCATATAGAACCAGAGCATAGCAATCATCTTTCATCCACGCTGAACACCAGCAGCATCTTCAATCATGAGCCTGCCCCGAGAAGCAGAATGATCGGCCAGAGACGAGGCCACCTGAATCACCCTCTGCACTCCAGCTTGAAATGTGGCTCTATCCTCCATCTTCAGAAGCCCTGCCCAATACATCATCAAGGAAGAAGCAGTGAAAACAGCTTTCAAGGGAGTAGGCACAACATAGGACACAATCATAGGAGCTTGTTGAACGGGCAGCTGCAACGTTTCATCTTGAGCAAGCCATTTTGGCGTAGATGCCTTGTTAGACTATTTATCTCTTCAGATTAAGAGACTTGAATCTGAGGGTTTGCAATCCGAGTTTAAGCATCAATAGTGCACCTTGTTGCTTCCCACAAAACATTTCCTCCCCTATTCATTTTTCTGTGAGGAAACAACAATATCACTGTCTTTCTGTGGATCCTAAGTCCTAACGCTTAAGTCCATTTGGATGGTAATTTGTTTATTTAGAGTGCTTAATTATTATTTTGAGGGTGCTGGATGCTAATTTGTGAGCACAGTAATAGTAAAACATGTCCTTTCACTGCAGATCTTCTGCGTGTTCTCAGAAAAGCTATATGTATCTTACTAAATGATATTTGTGTTGCATGAATAGAGAAAAAGTAACTTTCTTTTAATGCCACTTAGCAAGTCAAGTAAATAAGGAGTGCCAAAGTAAGGGACTGCAGATTATTGGCCAATGGAGCCCAATTTTTTAAAGAAAATTATAATGAAAATCAAAATTTAAAGTTTCAAACAATTCTAAAAAAACACAAGTACACCCAGATATGTATACTCATGGTTGTAAATTTTCATGATGAAATATATTATGATGTGAAAATCATAGACTTTTATAGTGAATAATACATGTGCTAAACAAATTCATGATTTTGTTTTTTTGCAGCTCACATTTGGACGTATATATTCATCATGAAGTACATGCTAGAATTTAAAAAGTGAATAATACATTTGCTACTTTTCCAGATTTTCCTGAAACATTAAGATTTAATTACAGTATTAAAATTTAAAAAGTGGGGATCCATAGGGCCTGATCTTCAATAGTAATATCCGATAAGAAAAGTACGTATGTGCACATTTCATATTCAGTACTGTAGCAAATTAACCCACATCAACCTGGTGCAAAAGGTTGGGAGAATTTCCCGGAAGAAGGTGTTGGACCGTTGGTAACGAGCTACTCCATCCGCCCCACAATATAAAAACGTTTTTCAAACTAAAATAGCTAAAAAATGATCTTATATTGTGGGACGGAGGGAGTATGTAGTCTCCGAAAAAAAAAATTGCTAGTATGTAGTACAGCTAGCTCGCTCTCAGTAAGCGCATTACCTGCACATGCAGCATGCAGGAGAGAACACGGCAGCGTTGTCGGAACGGCACGGGAGTATTAACCTGCTTACCAGGCCAACGCTGTTCGCATGCATGTGTAGCTCCAGTCTACCTTCCCATCGCATCCATACAATGTACTACGTGGAAACACCAGACTTGAACTAAATGCTCAGAAAGAACATGTCCTCTCACAGACTCCTGTTTTGCAACTAAAATTCAGCCACATAAATCACCTGCGACACCAAATAAAAACTTGAACTACGTAGGAACCAGTGCCTCTGCCACAAATGTACATTACGCATTGATAAATGCCACAAATATGCTAATTTGTAGTGAGTTCTGAACTGTAGGATGAGAAAGATATAGGATGGTTGACTTGACGACGACTGAAGATGTCTGTTCTTTGGACCGGAAATCTGTGCACTTATTCTTCTTGAGCCAAGTCACAGCCCTTTCTAACACGGCATATGGTTTATTCAAAAGGTTGGTGCTAGCTTTTCGCCTTTTCCTTGAGTGCTATTGGATCATTGATGATAGGGGAGCGAGTGGACCTGCGTTCATCTGCTTCCTGGA